TTTATTTTATCTAAAAAATTTTAGTAGTATTAAAGTTTATTTTTTAAAATAAATTAAAAAAAATTTATAAAATGTTTATTAATATATTTAAATATTATATAAAATATTTAATAATTATAATAAAAAAATTGATATAGTCGGAAATCGATGTACTTAAATATCGATTGTTATCGATTTTAATATAACTGTTATTTAGCGATCTTAAATTCTCTTCTTCACAGACGTGAGAGGTTACGCTTGTCTCTTGTAGGTTTGATAATATTATATACAATTTTTTAATTATATTTAATTTGGCATTTCATTTTTTATACTATCAAAATTTATAAAAATTATATTTATTATACTCAAATTTTTTTTTTAAAAATTTAAAAAAAAATTTTATCCTGAATTATTTTTTACAAGAGAACGCACGTGACAATATTCGTGCATATGTTAATGAAATATATTTCAAATTTTAATGAAAATGTTTTATTTAATCATTAAATTTGTTAAAATTTAATACTAATCGTATAATTACATAACTTTATACATAAAAATATTTTTATCTTATTAACTGACATACCAATCAATTTTAATTAGAAGTATCTTTACAAGAATTATAATTAAGTTTAATTGAATTATATTTATTACAGACAAGAATTGTTAATATGACGAATTCAAAGGGATATCGTCGAGGAACAAGGGATTTATTTTCCCGAAAATTCCGTAAACATGGAACAATTCCATTATCCACGTATATGAAAGTATATAAAGTAGGCGATATAGTTGATATTAAAGGTAATGGAGCAGTGCAAAAGGGAATGCCTTATAAAGTTTATCATGGAAAAACTGGACGTGTATTTAATGTAACTCCCCATGCTCTTGGTGTCATTGTTAATAAGAGAGTACGTGGACGAATTATTGCAAAAAGAATAAATGTTCGTATTGAACATTTGACTCATTCTAAATGTAGAGAAGATTTTTTGAAACGAGTAAAAGAAAACGAAAGACTCAGAAAAGAAGCAAAGGAAAAAAACATTAAAGTACAATTGAAAAGACAACCTGCTGAACCAATGCCTGCACATATTGTATCAGGACGTGAAAATCCTATTTCACTTGCACCTATACCTTATGAATTTATTGCTTAAAATTTAAATAAATATGTTCTGAAAAAATTAATGTTATTTTTTGAAAGCATACTGCACATATTTTCTATATGTTTTGGATATAATTTTGAAAATATAATAAAAATATTCTATATTATATATAAAATATATATTTTTTATTTATATATGTAGAATTTGCTAATATTTCTAATTAGAATAAAAGATATTTTATAAATTATATTTTCATTGAATTTAAAATAAATAATTTTTACATAATTCAATTAATTTAATATAAATTAAAAATAAAAATAATATAAATAAGAAATAATTTTCTTTAAACTATTACATGAATAAATACTTCATGAAACTAATAACTTTTTCTATATTTTACAAATCAGGTATACATAATTCTATAAATTTATTTTTATAAATAATCTAATATATAATATTTTTAATCTTTATACACTATATTTCAATAAGATACGAAATTACCATATAGAATTTATTTACTTTAATTACTATATATTTATATTAAGTTCTAATTACAATCTATTGATTGATAGAATAAGATATAGCCAGTTTCAGAACTTTTCTGAATATCAGATGTGAGTCCATAAAAGTCTTCTATTGTAGATGCATCAATTTTCTAAAATAAAAATTTAGTTTATATATTTATACAAAGATATATAAATAATTCTAATAAAATAAATATTATAATATAAATTATAAGGCTTACATCAACCATGTCATCATCAAAAAGTAACCAAAATCCATGGCTTTTAACTATGGAAATATAATGTCCTCGATTAGGCCCACTTCCACAGTGTATTACAACTGCTACCAAATCATATAATCTATCTGGATTCACTGCATCGTCACTCTATAAATTATATAAAAAACACTATATAAATATTAATTATAAATTAATTATCTTAATATTAAATATTAAAATCTGAAACAATCTGAAACAAATCAAAATATAAATACTTACAGTATTAAATAGCCGAAGTTCTAAAGGAAAAACTACTCTATGGGAAACTTTGATGTGACGATTATATTGCTCCACATATTTAAATCTCTTTAGATGCAATGCTAGTATCATTGGTAATTTTTTAACTCTCATTCGTTTCTAGAATAAAGAAATTATTATCAAATTCTTTTTTAAATTTTAAATTTTAATAAATTTTGTAAATTTTTTTCATAAAAGTACCTGGGCTTCTTGATAACTACTACAATGATCACATTTGAATTTGTTATCACTACAAAGTGTCTCAGTATTTGAAAAACATCTGAGGCAGTGTGTGATTGAAGTATTCTGATCTACATCAACTTGTAAATCAAAGAAATCCTCATCTTTGCTAGATACAGTCTCACAATTAAGGCAACGTGTTTCTGATGTCAGAATTCCTTGAAATATTTCATGAACCCATGTAGGTTCTGGTGGTGAACCAGCATCACCTGCACCACATTTTCCTCCTGCTGGTTTACTTTGACTTCTCTCTGCTAAAATATAAAATTACTTTTACAAGAATATTTTACTATATATTTTATTTGTGTGTGTGTATGTGTGTGTGTGTGTGTATATATATATATATATATATGTACTTATATATGTATATTCAATAAAATTTGCATACCTAAAATAATTTCATTTATATGATTTATTAAAAAGTTTAAAAATTCATGTGCATCTTGTTGCATGTAGTTATCAAATTCCTCTGTAAAAAATGATATACATATACATTACATATTTTTGATAAATAATTTTATTCTAATAATAAAATTAAATTTTAAATTAGTAATATGTTTATATTAACCTTTTTCTTTCCTTAATCTGGCAATAAACTTTTTTGGAGCTATAGATCCAACTTTCTTTTTTTGAGTTGCAATACTATAAAACAAATCGGCTAAACATGTTAATAATGTTTCCTTGGTTCTCTTATTTCTAGCTTTGTATTCTAAAACTTTTTCTCTAAATGGTCGACAAAAATACAAAGCTTGTAATACAGAATTGCTATAACAGGTATTTCCAAACTATAATAATATAATTATTAATATTAATATTCATAATAATAAAAATAAAAAAATAATCTAA